GACTTACTCAAGGTAAACAAGTGCTCAATGGATGCTGGCTGTTTATTATCAGCCTCTTTCTTAATCTTTTCCATTGATTGAGGTTAACCATTAAATTACTTCAAGAATTGGCATGTAAATTCTGCTCTTGCATTTGCTCTGAAGTAGTTGTTGAAGTTCATATCTATTACATCGCTCAATGTCAATGCCTAATGGGGGAAATTTTTTTTCAAGGGTTAGTCTTCTAAACAGAAATACTTTTTTCTTCTGATATACTGGCATGTACCACCCTTTCTAACATGGTATTACTACTCATCATTTTTCTTTCTTTGTCTTTGTGACAAAGAAGACTATATTCACATGTGGATTCTGTGGCCAATTTGTTTACTTTTCTCTTTTTTACTCATTCACTTGCATCCTTTCCCCCTTCCCAATCTATTATAACCTATTAATACTACATTTATATTTTTATGTATACAAATGTATATGTCCGTATGAGAAGATATCTGAAATTATTTTGGATAAGTAAAAGCACACAAATAATATTAACAAACAAAATAAGTGTCAAAAGCACAATGTCTCACTCATAAGTGGACCTTGAACAATTATTATAATACTATAAGAAAGGGATTGGCAGGAGTGGGAAACTGCCAGGGGAAATAGGATCACATCTCATCTCCAAGGGTACCTGCATAATGAACATTTGTGTACCTAACCCTGAACTGTACCCCACATCTTTAAAATAAAAAATTAAGAAAAAAGCACAATGTGTGCTTTCATTAACCATTTATTTACTAGGTAAGCAGTAAGACCTGGAGCAAAGTTTTTCACCTCTCTAAACTCTTCTCTACTTCTGAACAATGAGGGATGATCATAGAATCTACTTTGGATGGTTCTTGTGAGGAAGAAAGAAATATACAAAAAAAGCATTCAGGACAGCCCAGCATATAATAAACACTCAATGCTAGTGCTGGTGTCGTGGTCAGTAGAATTATTTCTAGACATTCAAATGGAGGCTCAACCAGAGAACTAGTTACTGGGAAATACACACAAATGAGTGTCAACGACTGCTCTCCAAACAATTTCTATACTAAATCTCTAAGCCGACTTTAAATTTTTGGATGTGGCCAATTTTCTACCTTTAAAAATAGAGTCATAATGTTCCATTTTATGTCTAATGTCAAAAGAAATAATTGAACGCAATAGTTAAAAATCACTAATAACCTCACAACATGTACATATTTTTCTGGTTTATAGTTGTGCCATTACTAGCAGAACTTTCTTTTTAAAAAACTTGTTATTGTGAATGATTCCATGTACAAAATAATCCATAATGAACAAATTGAATATAAAGAACTATGGACCCATGACCCGGCTTAAGAAATAGAACATAAGGAATATTGACATCTCCTGTTTTTGCTTCTTTTATTCCTCAAGGAGGAGTTTCACTCACGTGTACACCTAATTTTTTTTTCCCAGGGTACTGTTTGTATAAGCACTATCTCATCCCTTTCCTTCACACTGACTCATCCCTTCCTTACTGTGCTCCAACTCTTATCTCGTCTCTCAACTTTTCCATCACCTTCTCTCCTAGAAGCTTCCTATCTACTCTGTGTACTCATATATTTCCTAAACTTTAAAAAACAAAAAATCCCTTCCCTCCAGACTGCAATAGTACCAACGATTTACTCCTTTCCTGCCACTGTTCACTTGTAAAAACTTTGCACTTGCTGCCTCCAAATCTCACAGCACCTACTGCTTAATCTTTTATAATCTGTTTACTGCCAGCAACAGATGCCTCTAGCTACCTCGACCCCTAAACTGGATAGCCAGTCTCTTACCTACCCCTGTCTGTCTTGTTATCCTGTAATATGCAAAACAGACTCAGTCAATGCTCCAGTCTCTCTCCCCCTCCACCTCCAGAAAGACTGAATTGTTTGAGCCAGGCCAGTTCTTTCGCTGAGTCAGTCACCTGGAGGGCTTGTTAGAACCCTTGGCCCTGCCCCTGGAGTTTCTATGAAAAGGTTTCAGAAGGTAATGTCCAATGTATCATTCAACATCATTGCCGAAAGGGGGAATTTTTATTTCAGGATTTCGTCCTGTGAAAAACTTAACCTTTCTAACATTTCTAGGTTTTCAGGTGATGTTGATACTGTGGATTCCCTGTTCACACTTTGAGAACCACTGAACTCAAGAATGTTTTAGGGTGTTCTTAATCCCTAGCACCTGATGCTATCTCGTGAGGAAGGCTTTTTCAAACCACACATTCTCTAGGACGGAAATGGTTCCTAAATATCCCTCCCCAGTCCCGCATACCCCAACGCACCTTTCCAATCACCCATTACATGTTTCCACGTGGTTGACACCCTGTCAGCCCCAAGGGCTCAATGCCAATTTCGAGCTCCTCTCTTCTCTGCCCTTCCTCAGTCCTGTTCCCCATTTCAACTGCAAACCAGACACTTCTTACTTTCCTACCTCTGTTAACACTACCAGCAGGTATCCAGGGGTCGCAAAAGCATAGAGCAGACAGGCAGCAGACAGGTCATATCAGTGAAGGTAGCGGGCTGGGTGGAGACTGGTGTGAACTGGAGACAGCCTGCTTTGATGGGTGAGCAGCTGAAAACTGCCATTTGGAAATATGGTTTCAATGTTGCCAAACTGAAATTTTATGTAAGATCTCCAGATTTTATTTTTTCTTCCCACCTGCAACCATTTTGCTGTTGTTGTTGTCAAACTATAGGAGACAAATAAAACCTGTTGTGTGGTGTACTAACCTGTGCTCAAAACCAAGTTCTCTTTGGCTTCTTCTGCCTTCACCTTCACTTCCCCAATAATTGCCAAAACCTGTACATTTCATCCCTATCCTGGCATTTTTCTTTTTCTTCTGCCAACTGACTCAATGCAACAGGAAAGGCGCAGTAACATCCGGTATTGTACCTCCATCTTTTTGAAGTAAAGCCCATTTAATAACTGCCAAATTACTTTTAAAACACTGTTGCGATCATGGATATCACCTTTCTATTCAAAACCCAATAGACATGCCTGGTCTCCCGCTGTCAAAACCCTGTCAATGTCAAGTGACTTTTCCTTCCCACTTCCTGACTGAGCCATGCTTTTGACTAGCACTCTCAAGGCTTGGATGAGGATTGTGGTGGTTGTGGAGATGGAAAGAAATGGACAGATTTGAGAGGCATTCAAAAATCAAGTCAGTCACACAGCATTGCCATTCACAAGACTTCAGCATAGAGCAATTAACAACTATCTTCTTTCTACTGATAGCCTGGATAGGACACGTGTTAGTGTGCACCTGAGTTTGCAAACTGGCAGTCTGAAGGTCAGATTTATTAGACAAATATCTTGTTTCATCTGCATTGCTTGAAAAAAATACACAGTTGCAGCCTAAAAATAGTGATTACACACAAAAGTCAGGATTTCTGCTGGGAAAAAAAAAAAAAAAGCAAGCAGTGACAGTCTAGATCTAAACTTCCCCACATGGCAAATACCTGGAGCCGACACTGCATATTCCCTTCAGATGCAGTGTCTGCTGTTTACCACTCTTCACCTAGCCAGGTGCATTTAGTGTTCATACAAATAAGAAAAGGCTATGGACACTTTATAAATAAGTTTCAAATGGAAATCCAATATTTCTGATGTCCTAAAACGTCACAGGTAAGAAAAACAAGTTCACAATATTGTACTCCCCACCCATGTTAGATATTTGAGTTTTTGTATTAGGTTTACTTGGCAATGTACAGGACCAAACTAAAGTCCCATCCTGCTATATAATTTGATGTCTCAGCATACAAGTCAGATGAATGTTCACTGTTAAAACATCTGAACAGGTAAACTTTAGGGATCCCTATGTGTTAGATCTTTCATTGGTCTCGTCTCCCGAATCAGCTATTTGCCACCCCCCTCAAGCCCTTTCAGGAACTACTTCTGGATTCTGGTTGGGTTTGACCAATGGTAGGATATGGCTGGACTTTGGAGAATGAGGTCCAGGCATCCAGTTCCTTTGTTCTATCACCACAAGGATGTCTAAGGCCGGCCAAATGAAGGGAGGCCAAATGAAGGGAGCCTTTCCCTGGGTCCAAAGTGAAGGGGAAACTGCTCCCTGCCTTGGCTTTTGAGGATACAAAAGGCCACCCCTGGCTACCCTCCAGCTCTGTCACTTGGACTCAATTGCTCTATTTCCTGTTGCAGCCTGACTGAATTACCTCCCCAGCCTTACTCCTCTAGCTGAATATTATCCAAACACACACAAGAAAAAGACATTCTTGCTAAGAGTCATTTTCTAGAATCTGAACATCACTACTTGGGAAGATTTTTTTTGCAATTTAAATTTTTGCCTTTATAGTATTAAGAATTATAGAAACTATATATTCATCTATCTTTCAACCTGAATTAATGTTTATAAACACTTAACCAAAAAATACATATGCAATGTTTAGCCTTGAAAATTGAAAACTATTTCCTCTAACATTATGTATATTTTGGACTGGATAAAAAATGTGGTACATATACATGATGGAATATTACACAGTCATAAAAAAGGACAAAATTATGGACTTTGCAGCAACGCAGATGGAGTTAGAATCTATAATACACAGTGATCTATCACAGAAGCAAAGATCTGAGTACCACATGTACTCACTCAGAAGCGGACCCTGAACATTTATCATAATACTACAAGATAGGGATTGGCAGTAACTGGATGCTGCCAGGGGAGGGAGGGGGAGGGACACATAACATCAATAAGGATACCTGGTCTCAAACCAGGCGAACTGGGGATCAAAGGAAAGCCCAAACTTTACCTGTATGATGACCACTTACGTACCTAATCCTGAACTGTACCCTACATCTTTAAAATTTTTTTAAATTATGTATATTTAATCCTAAAGATATGCCCATTTTTGTATTACACTCTTTCCCTTGGCATTTTTGCACACCAGTGCCATCTGCTGGAAAGTTAATACAATTAGGTCTTTCAAATCCCAAAATGTATCTTTTTTGGGAGGGAGTAAGAGGTAAATTATTCTTTATTTAAGAAATAAGCCTTACTTTTAAATACATAGCTGCTTAACTTCACATCATTATCAATATAAACCCCACTTAATTACAAAGCACTAAAAAAAGTCTAAAACTTACAATTTAAAAAAAGCTAAACATTTCTTTCCATACATGTCTTGGTTTCTACAACATTCTTCAGTGGTTTTATTCTGAGGTTGACACGTCTCAACATGTTTGAACAGGACCCGTTCCTTTACCAAAATCCAATGTTGATGTATAAGTAAAAGATAGGTTAAGTATGTATGTTTAAATATATAACAGATTTAAATAAAATATCTACATACATATTTTTAAGTCTATGACAAAGTTTTAGTTGTGAAATATGTGAAGCAGACAGATGCAGAATTGCACATTGTTTTGCAGTGCTTTCACCATCTTTAGATAGCAGCTAAAATCAGACATAAACAACATGACACACTGTTAAATTTTCTTATATATGAAAATTGCAACAAATATTCTAAATAATATAGAAACAAACGATTGCTTAACTGATTTTAATAACATGACAAACAGCCCCTAGACTTGATATAATCGTTATGCAAAATACATAGATGAATACTGTCTTCTTTTAAAAATATAAAATAAATAAGCAAGACATGTGAAAATAGGCAAGTTTCCATTAAATAAATGAAATTTTTTAAAAAGAAAGTTTTCCTTTCCATGTCATTAGAAGAAGGAAAATTATCATTTTAAACAATATTCAAGTTTATTAAACAAATTAAAAAAAGTATTATAAAATTTTTAACTTTCATCAGCTTCAAGGTTTATGTTGCTCCCGAATTTTGCATATAACTGAACTTTCAAATCTGCTAACACCCGCTGAATGGATTCCACTCTGGATTCTAAGGCGTCAATTTCTTCTTGCAAATTTTTCTGAAAAAAAAAAAATAGTTTGAATTAATTCTATTCAATTGGATGATTTCTGAGCACCTGTGTGTCTGAAATAATAGTTGGGAAGAATTTTAGGTCAAGAACCTTCTAAACTTGGACAGGCAGCTAAATAACACTGACAATTAGATCTAAACCAAAAGTCTAAACATGGGCATTTCAAATTCATGCTCTCTATTTGCTTATCACAGAATAAATCAAGCCTGTTTTATCAGTTTCTGCCAACCTAAAAAACATAATAGCTACAAGAAAATTAATTTCTAAATTATCATATCCTAGTAAAAAAAGAACCAAATATAAAAACTTCTATAAACAGTTTATCATGAGTTCTAACACAGCTTCTCCCAAATTCCCACAAAAATAACTGTGAAACTAGAGGAAATGATAGAAACTCACCCCACCACCACAAAAAATAATTAAGAATAACAAGGTCCAAATCTGACAGAAACTTTCACTAACTACAAGGCCTCTGGAGCTTAAACTTTGGAAGACAGCGGTAAAGGGCGTCTTGTCAGAAAGAGCAGCTTTGCCCGGTGAAATGTCAAAGTTCGTTCTCTGAGTATTTGAGGTGACAGATACATGTACTATGTTTGATTTAACTATTCCACATGATGTTCATAAATTATAACATCACTTTTCATAATTTATACAATTAAAAGTTGTCAGTTTCTAATTTTAAAAAATATACCATTCCAAAGGACATTTCTTTCTACCTACTGATCTATCTATCTATAGGTATACACATAGTTTCTCCAATTTGGAAATCAGTTTTATAATACTAATGCTTCCCTCATTAACAAATCAAATAAATTTTAACATATATTCTTTGCAAAAAAAATACCAGAAATTCCTTCCTGGCTAGGATCAAAACAAGGATTATTTTTTCCCCTAAACATGACAAAGAAACAATGAAATCATACCAATGGCACACCCATTAATATTAGGAACAAAAAAATACCTAGAATTTACATGTTATTCTATTGGAATACTGGGTTCTCAAAATGTGGCCACCAGATCAGTATCAGGAGCAAAATCACCTGGGAACTTGTTAGAAGTACAAATTCTGGGGCCCTATCCCAGGCCTCCTGAATTAGAATTTATATACAATTGTAAATTGTAAGAATGTATACAACTCGTTGGGTTAGGCCCAACAACCTGAATTTTTAACAAGCCTTGTGGGTGATTCTGATGTTGATGCATGGTAAAAGTTTGAGAATCACTGTTAGAAGAAATAGAAATAAGACGTACAACAATTAGAAGAGAGGCAATTTCTATGTCTAGAAAACTTAATTAGTAAGTAAAATAAGTCACTAAAATTTTTTCTAAATCACAGCCCAATCATCTCTCACTTTTTCCTTAAAGCTCCTGAGAGGCTGCTCTTTGCTCTAGGACAGGGTTGGCAAACTGCAGCCCATAGGTCGAATGTAGGCTGACGCTTGTTTTTATAAAGTTTTACTGGAACACAGCCATGAAAATGTATCTGTACATCTTGCTTTCAGGATAATTGTGGCAGAGACCATGTGGCCTACAAAACCTAATATATTTACCTCCTGGCGCCTGCTAAGTACAATTTATTCAACTCAATTGGCAGGAATTCTCCAAGAGATGACTGTAATTTCAAGTGCTCCTAAATCTCCATCAGATAAACTTCTTTCTATTCTATTCCGTACCACGATGGTTCTATGACAGTTGCATATGCCGTTTCTTCAGCCTGGAACAGTTCACACTTTTCTGGTCAATACCCAGTTACTCTTCAGCTGCTAGCCTTCCTAGGCCGCCCCTCCCCAGACCCCTCATGTCAGGACTGGTAGAGATTCCCTTGCCCTATGTTCTCAAAGCCACCTCTATCCCTATACCACTTTCTATTCACTATTAGTTTTACTTGCTCAATTTTCTTTCTTTCCATCTAGACCAGGGGTCTCCGACCACTGGGCCACAGACCGGCACCAGTCCCTGGCCTTGTAGGAGCCAGGCTGCACAGCAGGAGATGAGTGGCAGGCGAGCAGAGCTCTGTCTACTGTCAGATCAGCAGCGGCATTAGATTCTCATAGAAGCACAAACCATGCTATGAACTGCACATGCAAGGGATCTAGGGTGTGCATTCCTTATGGCAATCTAGTGCCTGATGGGCTGAGGTGGAGCTGAGGTGATGATATGCAGTGAGATTTGACTGTACATCTCACCCCGCCTACCTCGTTCATGGAAAAAGTGTCTTCCACGCAACCAGTCCCTGATGCCAAAAAGGCTGGGGAACCGCTAACCTAGACTACATGCTTGATGAGGGCAAGGGCCAGGCATGTTTTGCTCTCCCCTATATCCTTAATATATGACAGAATCTGATACAGAGAAGCATTCAATAAATCCTTCTAGAATGAATGAATAAATAAAGAATAAAATCAGTATCTATGTGTGTATGTTTTGGGAGAAATTCATGATAACCACAAAAACCATAAACCATCTTGAAATAGTTCCAACACTAATATTTTTAGAATGACTAAACAAACAAAAAGGAACAAAATAAAAAATGTAACTAAGAAAGAAAAGATTTAAGCATAAGGGAGACAAACAATGCTTCTGCATGGAAAGACTCAGAAGTAAAAGTGTTAGTTCTTCCCAAGATTTATGAAATGTGGGTTTAATTCATAGAAAGTTTTGCTTTTTATAATACTTGAAGAAGGGAAAGTATCATTTTAAGTAATCAGCTTAATTAAGCAAAAGTATTAGGAAATGTTTAACTGCTATTAGCTTTTCATACACAAACAACGTGACTGCCCCTCTCTAGTAGGTGGAGGGCATGTGAACTGGGAAGCAACTTCACACTATTATGAAATAATCCATATTCTGACCTAGGAATTATATTTCTCCAGTTACTTCCTTAAAACAATTTTCTAAATGTGAAGAGAGATTTATGTAGAAGAACACTCCCTGTAACATTACTATAGCAAACTGATGGAAACAAATTAGTGTAACAGTAAGAACGGTGGAGATTGGCAATTGAGGAAAGCTGCCAGGGGAGCGAGGGCATACCTCATCAACAAGGGTACCCACAAAGTGAACATTTATATACCTAACCCTGAATTGTACCCCACATCTTTAAAATAAATAAATAAAAATAAAAAGCAATCATAAAACCAAAAAAATAATTAAGTAAGAGCACAATGAGCCAAATCAATGTCCCTCAGCGTGACATGAAATAATTCTTTAAAAAATGTCTTTAAAACCTATGTGCCTGGCTCAGAGCAGGTTCACAATGAACATTTGCTGGAAAAGTAAACATTAATTAGAACAAGAATTGCCCAAGTGTGAAGCAAACCTACATAGAGAGAGAGAGTGAAAACATAAAAGAAATACATGAGAAGGTTCCTTTCAGATGGTTATCTCTAGGTAGTGAAATTACAGGGGATTTATCTTTTCCACTTCATAATATGCTGTACTTTCTAAATACTTTTAAGTTTAGAGCAAGGTTGCAGTGTCACAAGATCACTGTCTATATGTCACCTTTAATAAATCCCATACTCTCTCTAAGCCTCTATTCTTCATCTCTAAATTGGGATAATAATGGGTCACTGTTAGAATTAAATAAAATCATGTTGACAAAGCATTCAGAGCATGCCTGGGACATAATGAGCCATTAAATATCAGCTGGCATCCATTATTTCCCTACATCTACCGCTTCATGTTATTTATAATGACATCAATCCTAATTTAAAAATTAGACTTCAACATACCTTTGCTTCTTCTAACATTTCTTGTGTTTCTTCTTGAGAATGGCTAATGAAAACATCACCAATTTGATAAGGTATCATTAAGCAGTCATCATCTGCAAGCATGATGTCATCACAAGCATCTTCTAAATTTTGGAGTTGTTTCTGTAAACACAAAAGTAAACAGCAATGAATATATATTCAAAATTCCCCATTTTCATTTGGGGATACCAAATCTCAGGGAACCTTTCACAAAGGTATTATCACATTAAAATAAGACCTTAATTTCCAGTATTTTTAGACGATATATCACAAGGAAGCACTAAGAACAAACTGACACCTTGTGCTCTGAATATTTTCAGACTACTATAAGCATCCAGTGGTGGATAGCAGGTATCTCTGATCATCAAAATTTCTCTTCCTTTAACAATATTCCACTTTGTGAATTTTACCTTCCTACAAAAGCAAAACCAAAAAGCCAACAATCATTTCTCAGCCCTGCCTGCCCATAGGGTATAGGTACATCATGCTGGCTTGGCAAAACGTGAACGCTTTGTAAGCATGCTGATAAAGTGTAATGATAGCTTAAATCCCACCAATCAAATGCACTTGAACTGGCCTTCAACTCAGGGGAGTAGTGGGAGGAGAAAGGTCTCAGGTTACAGGGGCAAGTGATGGTGGCAGCAGCAGTAGCTCAGTGTCCCCAGGTTGCAGGGGTAGCTTCCTCATTGTGGAGGCAGCCAGCTTTAGCATCAGTGGAGGCAATGGCAGCTACATCGCCAGCCCCATTGCCAGCCGAGCTCTGAGACGTGGTTCTGAGACTTGTTCCTGGAACCTCAGTCTTGACTCAAAGCCCTCAACAATTCTCTAAGTGATCTCTTGTCCCTTAAAAAATGACTTTCTATTTCAACTAACTAGAGTGGAATGTGTCATCTGCAAGAAAAGCTCAGAGTTATAATCACTCATTAACAGAATTGTTTTAAGCAGCTATGGCATAAAGAACTTTTATTTTCAATACCTTTTTTACTTCTATTTCTTCCTTCAGCTCTGTGATTCTACTTGTGTTCCGTGCAAATTTGTTTATCTTTTGTTGATCTTCAAAAGTAACATTGACATCTTCTGCAGCCTGAAACAAGTTTTTAATTTTTTGTAGAATTTTAACAGAGAAGTCATAGATTAGTTTTTTATATTACTTTCTAAAGTAACCCCATCAACTATTTGCCCCAAGTCAAGAAACACAAGAGGTATAGAACAAAACAAACGCCATACTTTTTGCTCCATAAGTTTAAGATCTGTTTATAAATCAATAACCTTTTCTGATAGTCTATAGAATAACTCTTATGCTACAAAAATATTTCAAATGTAAACAATTAATAAGTCCTAAAAAAAAAAAGAAAAGAAAAAAATAGCTAACTTTTAGCCTACAGCAGAATTTCTCAAGTCAGAACATTCTTTCACCAAGGTAACTCAGGGAGCAATAAGGTATGTAGTTCATCAATGTTGGTAAATGCTTCATACTACCTTTTTTCCCCCCTTAAAATCAAAATGTGAATGTGTCAATCAGAAATCTGACAGTTTCTATAGTTTTTTTTGTTTTTTTTTTTTTGAGTTGGAGTCTCACTCTGTTGCCCAGACTGGAGTGCAGCGGCCGCTCCCGGCCACCGCAGCCTCGACCTGCTGGGCTCCGGCGATCCTTCCGCCTCAGCCTTCCGAGTAGCCGGAATTACAGGCATGCGCTACCACGCCCGGCTGATTTTTTGATTTATTGTAGAGTTAAGGTCTTGCTGCCCAGGTGGGTCTTGAACCCGCGGGCTCAGGCAATCCGCTCACCTCAGCCTCCCAAAGGCACGGGATTACAGGCTGAACCACCGAGCCTGGCTTGTTTCTATAGTTTTTAAACTAACTGATATACTGGCTATTATGGGCCATTAGGCATTTCAGTGGCTATATTCCATTTATAGTAAAAATTATGTTTATTTTAATGTAGACCTGTTTACATGTCTTAAGATGTAATTCATTATAAAATGAACACTGAATGTTCAATATACAAAATCAACATTTAATGTGATTTAATTTACAAATATGCAAGTAAAGTAAGAGTGCTTAGATGATGTAAATTATCTGTGAAATAAAAGCAGCTAACATTGGTTGAGAGCCTCCTAATGTGCTGAGAATTTTTTAAGTACTTTATCATCTCTGCTAATCCTCTAGCCAATCTTAACAAATAGGACCATCAGTTCTACTATTTCAGAGATGGAGAAACTGTGGTGCAGAGGATTTATTATATAATTTTCCAACATTACATAAAAGCCACACAGCCAGTAAGTGGTGGAACTCACACTTAACCAGGCAGACTGGCCCCAGAGGCCATAGACAGGTCTGTAAGTTCTTGGAAACTGAATGCAAAAGTGTATCCACATGTGAGTGTGCATGTGCACATGGGCTTATGGGAATGTGCAAGAGGCAACAGGAAGTTGGGTTTCATCAGTCTCAAAGGGGAACCCTATATTTAAAAAAAAGAAAACTAAATTGCAGACTCTCCTTAGGGCGTCCCCTCATTTATAAAATGGGAACAAGAGCACTTGGTTACAGAGTATAGGAGGAAAGAAGTGTTATGTATATAAAAATGTTTCTTAGGGAAGAACTATTTGGGGCTCTTTTGCAATAAAGTCTTTGGTTCACGATACCCACACGCCCGGTCCCTGATGACCAGCAACGCCAGATATCTGGACTTTTATTTCTCAGAGGATGAAAGGCAGCCTGCAGTGTCAGCAACACAGAGCTCAGTGGTCAGACACAATGTAGCCATCCCCTTTGTCAGGCTGTCATCTCAGTAAACAAGTTCCCGGCAGCATGCCCACCCCCAGAGACCCACAGGACAGACTGAAAAAGTCCTTTACATCACACTGTGTACGGCTCTGCGTGTTCAGTCCTAAGCATGGTTTTTATGAATACGGAAGTTGGGAACACCAAAGAAAACCAGAGAAACCAAAGGAAGGCCTCTGTGCAGATACCTCAGTGCCCCAGTCATCCTGACTGTGTGAGAACTGTCCATTCACTAGACAAATAGAGAACAGAGAATTCCAAAGAGTTCCTGCTACTCCTAAAAACCTAAAAATCTTCATAGGTATTTACCTATGCATCTGTCATAGTGATGGTTTAACAGCGTCATTCGCATGAAGAGACCTGGCAGGGGGCTTGCCTGGCACACAGCTAAGGCTACTACATGGTTTCTGAGTTTGAATCTAAGTCATGCTTGATCAGACTCAAACCAGGCTTCTGAAAGTGGGAGAATGTGGCTACCTGCTTCCTAATTTTCCAAAGCAGGCATTTCTTGTTGCATCCCTGCCAAACAGCCACCACCAGCATGCACATGGCTCCTGGAATCCAGTTCCTTTTGGCAGTTTTCCTACCACAGTGAAGCCCACGAAGTAGATGTGTGAGTTAAATATGCACCAGTGCAGCTACATGCCACTGAGTGGAGTAAGGTGCCAGCACCTTCAATGACCAATAGCAGTGGCTTCTGTCTTAATCTCACTGTTCTAGAATACTCCTACATTTTGAAGCTACATTTTGGCAGGGAGGGGATACTCTTAACTAGGGGTCAACGGACACTGAAAGGTTAGTTTACATCCCCGCACCCCCAAGACTGTACGCAAAATGGCATGTATAGTATGTGCATTCTTCTGGAAAGGTCTTCAAAATAGCTTTCATTAGATTCTCAGAGATACAAAACCCCAAAAGGTTAGGAACCCCTACCTTCAGAGGAACCAGTTGAAGTTACTACCACTCAGTAAGTCACAAGAACTCTAGAAAGAAGGGGTTATTTTATAGCACTGGAGGCAACAGAGTGGTAGAAGAGTCATTCCAATCCAAGCAAGCAGGAACCCTGGGCAAATTATTCAGTTCTTTGGAAATACCTCAGGCTTGCCAGCTATAAAACTGGGGAGCTAGTTCCTAGCTTATACCTAGCATTAAGCCTGGGGATGGAGTCACCTTTCAATAAATGGTAGCTAAGCATTTTATTTCCTGGATATTGTTTATGAAAAATCATTACAGAGGAAGAGGAGATCCAATCTAGAAGGAAATTCTGCTAGGACCAAAGAAATACGCCTGCTCAAGATTCAAGGTGAAAACTAAAATTCCTTGGGTATGACTATATCTTTTGCCTAAAAATTAATACCTTAAGGATTTATAGGAGGAAACTGAACCACAGCACACTGAAATTGGGTATTACCCACAGAATGTGCTTTGACAGCTGGGTTTCCAGCAGAAAATTGTAGCCAATTTCAATTTTTTAACTTTTTAAGGTATCTATCAAGTCCCATTGATATAAAACCCCGATCTGTATTTTTCTTTACCTTTCAAGCACACATTCATTTCTTTATCAGTTATTTAGTGTTATCTATGTGCCAGTGTGACAGGAGAGACAGTCTCACCTCATGAACACTGGCAAGCTTACATTCTGGTGGATGAACAAGACAGTGTTAGATGGTGACAGAGATGATGGTGAAAATAAAATACTGAGAGGTTGAAAGTTTTGAGGGGCTAGATAGTGAAGGGGGTTGCTTTAGACAAAGGTCACAGATGGCCTCTCTGAGGAGACGTGTACATAGGATAATGAAGAGAAATGACACAGAGGGCAAATGCAGACCGCTTTATAGCCAAGAACCACATTTTAGAAAGTGAACTTTCTTTCTTTTCTTTTTTTTTTTTTTGAGTTGGAGTCAGACTGTCGCCCAGACTGGAGTGCAGTGGCTGCTCCCAGCCACCGCAGCCTCGACCTGCTGGACTCCGGCGATCCTTCCGCCTCAGCCTTCCAAGTAGCTGGAATTACAGGCGCACTACCACGCCCAGCTAATTTTTTAATTTATTGTAGAGATGAGGGCTCACCAAGTTGCCCAGGCGGGTCTCGAACCCGCGGGCTCAGGCAATCAACTCACCTCAGCCTCCCAAAGCGCGGGATTACAAGCTGAGCCACCGAGCCCGGCTGCGAACTTTCAAGATGAGAGGACTGAATCAATCTCATCTAAACATTCTCCCCAGCAAAGTCACTAGCAGCTGGGAGCTACAATGTGTTATAAATGTAAAGAACTCCAGATTAGAACAATTCATTACACCCTAAGAAATAACCCTCTGATCCTTCACTCTCACTCACTGGCATATCTGTATGTTTTATCCTAGTTTTGAGGGGAAAGGGGAGAAGTACACAAATTGGTTAACCTATCAGAAATTGATCATAATATCTACAGAACAGTGTATCAGAGATAAAGATCCTTTGTTTTGGTCACCACATATCCTTCTATATGTTCTTTTTCATCCATGGTTCAATCTCTCCTCCCCTGATTATCTGCCATCTAGCCTACCTTTTATTAAATGCCTAAGACATTCTCTTTGGAATGCCTCACTCACTCCCTGTCTAACTTACCCTTCCTTTCCTCACATAACCTCACAGATCCCAAATTAAATGGTGCTTTTCCAGGAAAGCCTTCTCTGATCTCAAAGCAGACTTCATTTTAGCCCTCATTTCACAAGTAGTTTTCCTTTTCAGTTTTCACTGGAGCTGGAAACTTTGAGTTTCCTGTGACTATTCGATGCCTGCCTCTCCCCTGGTGCATAAGTCTTTCAATGCTATGCTATGAGGATAAGGGGATAAGAGCTTCATTACTTGTCACCATTGTTACCTGAGACTGTCCCATATTATATGCTCAGAAAACATTTGTTGAATGGAAAAAAAAAAGTTAGTTAGAAATTTGGCAATCAGAGTTAAGTTCAGGATAAATCATTCTTCTACCATTTCCTCAACATTTATTTCACCTCTCTGAACTTCAATTTCTGCATCTATAAAATGAGGGCAAAAAAATATATATAGTATCTTCCATGGAATTAAAGGTCACACCCAACAACATAGGGGTCAATTTAACAAAATAGAGGCAAAATGGATCTCACAAGGTGTCATACTGGACTCCATCACCATGGCCCTGGATCCTACCCTGGTACTCAATATCAAGTGCAGATGATAGACCAGCTGGGTGAGCAACTCAGTCTAAGTTGACTGGGCCTCCCAATTTTAGCTCTTCCTCTATCAGGATATATTAGGACGGTTGGCCACCCTAACCCAGACACAGGTGACACAGACTATGTGGTACTGGAAGTTAAGCACTAATGTAGTCTTAAGAGTGGAATGAAAGCAAACACACAAAATCTGGAACACAACTCCGTTCAGTCGGAGGGGATTCGCATCAGAGATCCTCACAGCAGTGAAAAACGCAAACTCTGGAGTCAGAATGCCTGTGTTTAAATGCCAGCTTTGACTCTGTGCCTCAATTTCCTCGTCTGTTAAATAAAGATAAAAACAGTTATCTCCCAAAAGAGTATAAAATAAATAACATATGCAACGCATTTAGAACTGTGCCTAGCATACAGTAAAACCCCAATATTTATCAGCTGTTATTACTTCCTTGCCCTCTCTGACCCCCACCTGGTTTTATTTTTAGTCTATCTAAATGTCTTTAAGCATCTGGGAAGACTTCCTGGATTATAAACCCCAAATGGAAGTTTGGCTTGCTTAGTGATTTTAAAGATGTGCTTCGGGGAAGACAAAATCAAACCTGACTTTAAACTCAAAGCCGCTGCTTCCGAGCTGAGTCACTTGGAGGCCGGTGACCGCGCTACGTAGAAGTTTTTCCATCTGCAAAATGGGGGGAAACCTACGCGCTTGCTGAGTCGCAGGGAAGATCACAGACCCACGGCCGGCTGCTGGGCCTCGCACATGGTCCTTGCTCTACAGATGCTGGTTTTAGCCTGGAGGATGCAGGGGCATCGAGGCTGGACCAGGGCGGCTCAGGGTTGGACCCACGGGGCTCGGGGGCCTGAGCATCCGGGGATGCAGGGACCCGCTCTGCCCCTTACGAGCTGCGAAATCCCGGGCAGGTGCCGCCCCCCTCGGAGCCTCGGCGTCTCTCCCCGTAAACGACGGTACCAGTGGCGCCCACCCGGGGTCCCGGAGGCCCAAGGCGGTGGGCAAAGCGCCCACCGTAAAGGCCAGCCGCAGTCCACGGGACCTTAAGCGTCCCACACCCCAGCGGCAAGGCCCGGGCCGCGGGGTCCTCGGGCTCCCCAGGGCGTCCTCGCGCCGCGGGAGGCGGCCCAGAGCCCCCCGAGAGTCGCGGCCCGGACGCCCCGCCACGGCTGGCCGGGGGCCGAAGACAACGCTCTGAGCACGGGCAGGCCTCGCCGCGGGGCCGCCCTCAGGATCGGGGACCTCGGCCTCCGGGCCCACGTCGGGCTTCAGAGAGGCGCACCCCCAGCACCTCGCACCCGGCCCCCCGCAGCCGAGCCCCGGCAGCCGCCCGAGCATCCAGCACCCCGAGCGCCCCACTCACCGCCTTCTTCATGGTGGCCGCCATCTTGGGACTGGACTACGGCGCGCGGAGGGGAGGGCCGCAAGGGCGCGCTTCTCCCCCGCACCCTCTCTGGCTTCTTGTCTTCTCAGAACTCCCCCTAAAGACACCACACTGTCTCCACATTCCCTTCTGTTGGGCCTTTGGCCATTTATTACTAATGGCTGGTACTCGGGGAGGAAATAGAACCTGGGAGGACTTGGTACATGCCAATTAAAGGGCCAGGCAACTCCCTGTGGGTCGACACAAACAGGGGGGTGTGGCGAGCGGCCGCAGGCTCCAGCCGCGGGCAGCAGGGGGCGCTCCAGGCGCCCAGCGCGGTGGGCGGGACCCGAGGCGGGACCTCGAGGGAAGGAAAGAGGAATTCTTCCTTTACCCAACTAACATATTGAGAAATTGACCTACCTGTAAAAGAGCTGGGAACGACTGTCCTTGGCAAATAGCATGTGAGATTTATATGCCCTTATCATTCACAAGGAGTAAAGAGGAGGCACTCCTGTTCATTCATTTATTCAGCACTATTACTGAAGATTTACTTTATACTCTGACACTTGTGCCTTCTGATTTTTCTCTTTTTTTTTTTGTCTCAGAACCTCTTTACTCTCTTAAAAATTATTGAGGACTCCAAAGAACTTCTGCTGATATGGATTATATTTCTCAATATTTACTCTATTAGAAGTTAAAACAGAATTTTTTAAATACCTGTATTAATGTATTTAAGATCACATAAAAAACCCATTCCGTAGTAATAAAAATAAAATTTTAAATTAAAAATAACTATTTTCCAAGACAAAAACAAATATTGAAAAGAATAGCATAGTTTTATATTTTTTGCAAATCTCTTTAATGTCTGGCTTAACGGAAGGTTATATTCTCATATCTACTTCTGCATCCAATCTCTTGAGATATGTTGTTTAGTTGTATATACGAAAAAAATCAAGTCTCACACAAATACGTAGTTGAAAAGGGGGATTCCGGAAAGGGTCTTAGGAACCCACGGACCATTAGAGAACTGTTCTGGATGTGTCTTCTCCTTCCTCAAATCCCACTTTCCTGTTTGGTTAAATGGGAGTAATGGGGCCTTATAGCACCCTGTGCTCTCCCCCACCAAAGCACGGAGCCCCATACAGGCATGGTCTGTCCTGTCAGTTCCTGGCTCTCCAAGCCCTTGGCAAGGGGTTTCTCCCATGTCCAGCTCACGTATGCTCAAAGTGCGTTTGTTGAATGAAGGACACTCTTTAGGGTTAAATCTTTGCACAAGGTATGGGACATAGAAATGCTCCATCGATGGCATCCATTTATCCCAGAGCTAAAGATAAAAGCACCACAAAAACAGATGGCGGAAGGGGAGACAGACGTGCAAGGACAAAATCATCACAAATGCTACCATGAAGGAAACAAACGAGGTGCTGAGGCAGAGCTCAGAAGGGATGGCTGAGGAAGGGCTCTGTAAAGCTGGCCACTAAGCTAACAGACAATGGGGAGGGATGGAGAAAGTTGAGGGAAGGAGATCCCAGGTACAGAGGGCTGGGAGGGAAAGAAATGAACCAGACAAGGATGAAAGGGCAGAGCGTCAGGAAGTGAGGCTGGGGTGCAAGGCAGAGGCCAGATCTGGGGGTGTTTTAGGCCAAAGGAACGAGAGGGAGAGAAAAACACGATTACGACTTTTCCAAACTTGTCTTGAGAAATGACTGAACTGAACAGTGAGGCCGAAGGTAGCACGAATCTTGAGTAAGTATAATTAGATTGTGGAGGCAAAGTAGCATGGTGGGGGAGGAGTCAGAGAAGCACTCTGATTCTCACATGCACAGGTCTTAGGCCTGGAAGGGACCCCAAACTTTCATCCAGGCTGAACTTTGCCTTCTACTGACAATATAATAATAGCGATAATAGTAATATGTAAAGCTAACTGAGCATGTATGGCAAGACCATGTCTCCACAATAGATAAAAACTAGCCAGGAGTGGTAGTGTGCACCTGTAGTTCCAGCTACTTGGAAGGCTGAGGTGGAAGGATCGCCTGAGCCCAGCAGGTCAAACTGTCAAGAAATGTTACCTATAATCACTTTCTCAGTTAAGCCTATTTGCCTCTGAAATTCCTCTGCCCAAAATGTTGCCTCTGGAAGTCTTCTGCCCAAGAAATGCTCTTTTAGACGCCTCTTAAAGAACTTTCTGGATCAGTATTTTTGCTGACTGCAACCAGGGCTGCTGCCTTTTGAGTAGTATCCATTTCAGACATGTAGAGACTGGCAAGTGTCCTGAGGGAGAAAATGACAATGGTTAGACACCATCCAGCCTGGACTTTTGGTCAAGGCTTAGGTAATCAATGCTTCTTCATTGGGGAGCACAACTCTAAGCCAGCAAGAGTGAGAAAAAGGAAGAGAGGCAGGGGAAGGCAGGACAGCCAAAAAAGGAGGCATCGCCAGGCTGATCTCAGCTTGCTGTCAGCACAACTGGCTGCCGCATCTCTGGGGACTGTCCTGTAAGAGGCTGTGTTAACCACAGCACAAGAGAGTCCAGCTGGAGGAAGATGGAGAAAACGTAATCTGCCAGGTCATGCCTCGTGTTCAAAGGCTGGTCCCATGGGGACCTCACTCCCCCATACTTCCAGGCTGCTCATGGAGACTCCCATGGCCTTTTGTGCCTCAACGGTCAACAGGGAAGCTGCCAGGTGGAGAGAGAAGCACAAGGCCCTGGTCTGAGGAGCAGCTCTGTTGGGCTCCACACGCTGGAAGTTCTCAAACCATGGCCTCTGTGGAGTTGGCCACTGTGATGGCCACTGAGGTGTCACTAGCGGCCAGTGGCAGGGGAGGACAAAGACAGATGAAACCAAGAGACTCTAAAGCAACACATCATTAGGGGGAATCTGATGCAGAAAGGCTTATGCACTCAGCTCATAAATTCAGATGATGGCGTACTGATTGAAATAGATTCTTCTAGGTATTTAAAAGTAGTTTTGTCCAAGTGCTAATTCACCTGTCACCAGGAAGCACTGAAATGGCCTTCCTCCTGCAGGGCCCACTTTTCATGATGCCTCCTCAGTGTCCAAGTCCATGTTAATTAGTCATCAGGCCAAGAAATTGTACCAGGAGACACTTGGCTCCAGGTGCAGAAGGGCTGACAGAGTGGCTGACATACCAGGGTCCTTGTCTCCCCAAACAGGTGATATGGATGTAGGGGATGGCCAGGCTGAATCGGCAGCTGGAAGAAGCCATGGCTCTTGGTCCAATACTCCGTTGAGTCTTTACCATTCCTTCGTCTCACAAAATGCTTCTCCAAGTTCTGGGTCTTTACATGTGCAAAGGCAGAGATAAAAGGCATTGGGCAGGGTCTCAGGGCACAGGGCAGGTCTGAATCTGGATAGCGGGCAATGCTGACTCCTGGCAGCCTGGATGCGAACTTAGCTCCCTCTGAAGCCCCTGGTTTCCCCATGCCTGAGAGACTCTCCTTCTCACGCTACTTCCCAACCCCCTTCCTCCCCAGCCTTTGCTGTCCTTTGAGCCAATCTCTATCCTAGCGGGAAAGAAAGGTCTGCGATTCCCCTAGCATGGGGACTTTCAAGTCTTCTGCTTAGCACCTTTGCACTTCCCAATGTAAAGCATTTCCAACCTTCATTAACGGTCCTTTCTTCAGCTGGGGACTGTGCCTAGCTTTGAAGGCCGCAAAAAAAGAGGAGTCTTGGGTATAAGTGGAAGCATTTGGAGACTGCAGGCCAGGGAGAAGAATCACCAATGACCACTGGAGAAGATATTCCCTTATATCAAGTTAAAAACTGGCCCACATACTGACTGGATCCAAAATAGTTTTTACCTAATCCATGCGATGTTGTTTTAAAAAATTGAACCATGGCCAAGTTTGGTGGCTCAGTCTATAATCCCAGCACTTTGGGAGGCCAAGGCACATGAATTGCCTGAGCCTGCGGGTTCAAGATGAGCCCGGGCAACTTGGCAAAACCTCGTCTCTACAATAAAAAAAAATTAGCCGGGCATGGTAGCGTATGCCTGTAGCTCTGGCTACTTGGAAGGCTAAGTGAGGCAGAGGGATCATCGGAGCCCGGCAGGTCAACGCTGGGGTGACCATGAGTGTGCCATTGCACTCCAGCCCGGGCAACGGAGTGAGACTCCAACTCACAAAAAAAAAAAAAAAAAAAAAAAATGAACTGTTACTGGAAAATTAGGTTAAATCACTCAATTTTTAAAAATTTTTAGTTTTGCTTGAGCTTATAAAATCAGAGTCCTGGGCCAGGCGCAGTGGCTCATGCCAGTAATCCCAGCATTTTGGGAGGCCAAGGTAAGAGGATCACTTGAGCCCAGAAGTTTGAAACCAGCCTGAGCAACATAGCAAGACCCTGTCTCTTTAAAAGAATACATACATACATACATACATACATTCATACATTAGTAAATAAAATTGACTGGGATGTGGAGGCTTAAGCCTGTACTTCCAGTACTTTAGGAGGCCAAGATGGGAGAATTGCTTGAGCCCAGGAGTTCGAGATCAACCTGGGCAATATAGTAAGTCCTCATCTCTGCAAAAAAATTTAAAACTTAGCCAGCATGGTGGCTCATTCTTGTAGTCCCAGCTACCCAGAAGGATGAGGCAGGAGGATCACCTGAGCGCAGGAGGTTAAGGCTACAGTGAGTTGTGAGCATGTCACTGCACTCCAGCCTGGGCGATAGAGTGAGATCCTGACTATAAATTAATTAATAAGTTCGAGGGACACTGTTCCTGAGTTCCTGCATGATGGCGACTGGTGTCAATATGGCCTGGCCTGTTTAGCCAGCAGGCTGTCTCTAAAGCCTACAGATCACCCCCAGCCCCATACCCCTCCACTCACACAGCACAGGTAGGTACCTCATCTGTGTACTTACCTGTCAAGCACTCCAGATGCGTGAACATGTAACCTCCAGACTTCTGTTCTAACACACCTGGGAGGGTTGTATGTGTGTATTTGCTTGCTTCAAATTTGTATCATGCTAGATGCTCTTGCAAGTAGAAACATGACTCCAACAAGGTGCTTGGTATCATGGAGCTTATAGTTGGCAAATATATGTCACCACAAACCATAGCACCTGGTGCTGCAGCCCTCAGGTGGGTCCAGGGAGGATGAGCTTGTGTCTGGCAACAGGGGTCCACGATGACCCTGGAATTGGTGGCACGTTGACTGCACCAAGAAGGGCAGCTGCTAGGCACTGGGAACACAACACAGACGGAAAAAACAGACAAACAAACAACAACAACAACAACAAAAAGAGACACATTT